AAACCTCTCCTTTAAATTGCAGATATTGAGTATTTTATTCCAGAAAGGAGAAAAGTAACTAAGATAGGTTTTGGTACCAGAAGTGGGGTTGGGGATATGAATATACCTGGTTATGTGGTTTGTGAGCCTTTGGTACTGGTTCATGAGAGGATTTTGGAAAAGTTTAGAGTTGTGGGCTTGAGAAGCCTTAAAATGTTGTAACCAGAGCTTGATGAGAGATTCTGGTCAGAGAACAGAATGCCAACAAAAAGGAAAATGGTAAGGGTTAGCCTTAAGAGGTTTCAGTTGGGAACAAAAGACCCCATTGGCAGTTGGACTTGAGGCTATGAGTGTTATGTGCTGGCAGAAAATTTTTCAATGGAGACTCACAAATAATACAGGATGGCTAGAGGGGATCCCAAGAAACCAAAGTGCAAGATATCTGCATGTACCTTCTTTGTGCAGAACTGCAGAGAGGAGCACAAGAAGATGAACCCAGAAGTCCTTGCCAATTTTGCAGAATTTTCCAAGAAATGCTCAGAGAGGTGGAAGATGATGTCTGGGAAAGAGAAGTCTAAGTTTGATGAAATGGCCAAGGCAGATAAAGTTTGCTATGACTGAGAGATGAGCGATTATGGATCCCAGCCCCAAAGGTTATGGACTCCCTTGTGAAGGGAGGGAAGAAGCCAAAGGACCTCAGTGCACCCAGAAGACCACTGTCTGGATTTTTCATGTTTTGTTTGGAATTCTGATCCAAGAACAAATCCACCAACCCTGGTATCTCCATTGACAATGTGGCCAAAACGCTGGGTGACATGTGGAATAATTGAAGTGGCAGTAAAAAGCAGCCCTACATCACCAAGGCAGTGAAGCTGAAGGAGAAGTATGAGAAGGACGTGGATGACTATTAGTCTAAAGGAAAGTTCGATGGTACAAAGCGTCCTGCTAAAATTGCCTGGAAAAAGGTAGAAGAGGAAGAGGAAGAAGAGGAGGAGGAGGAAGAGGAGGGGGGAGGATGAATAAAAACTTGTCTCCTTGTGAATCCCTTAGAGTAGGGGAGTGCCGTGACTGACCATTTCTTAGGTTAAACACCAACCAAATTGCAATTGTGTAGTCTCTCAAATGCTCTGGAAGTTGGCAGTAGTTGTTCAACATGGCCATGGGGGTCTGGAATGCT